AATGGTGGAAGTTTTAAGACATATAGGGACACTACACAGCTCCAACGAGCTGTTGAAAATCCGTGTTAGGACAGGCGCTAATTGTGCAGCGCACACTTTCAAACAAAAGGGAGTCACCCCATCTGCTCCCGGAGCTTTCCTGACCTTTTGTCTCTGAAGAAGATCACGCACATCTTTTTCACAAATCACCAAAGAAGTGGGTTCCTGAAGTAAGGGAACAACAGTAGGAGAGGCGGTTTTTAATACTTCTAAACCCAAATGGTTTACAGCAGGTGTAGATAATGGTGTTTCAAATCTGCAGTAAAACTCATTTAGGTCATCTGCCAATTTCTGGTTTTCCAGAACCGGGGAAGATGTTTTCTTATAACCCGTAATGTTCTGTAAGTTCCTCCAGAGAGTAGCAGAATCATGATTTTCCATTTGGAAAAGCACGGGACGTAACCCTCCATACGCTCTGCAATCTCGGTCTCAAGATCAACCTCGAAAAGTCACACTTGACCCCAAAGCAAACGGCCAAGTTCATAGGCATGGAGGTGGACTCCCTCCGTGCAAGAGCTTTCCTGCCTCTCGACAGGATCAGGAAAATTCAAAAGGCTGTCCGCCTTTTTCAAACACATCACTCTGTTTCGGCACATCATGCCCAACACCTCCTGGGGCTCATGGCGTAGACGACGGCCATTGTCCACGCCAGGCTCAAAATGCAATCCCTGTAGGCATGGTTTCTTTCCCTGTTCAATCCGCTCACAGACCCTCTGTCGGCCCTGTTACCGGTGACATCAGAGCTAGCCTCTCAGCTCGACTGGTGGACTCGTCCAGACAACCTTCTCATCGGCAGGCTCTTCTCACCTCTAGGACCTTCCATACAGGTCACAACCAACGCCAGCCCCACGGGTTGGGGTGCTCATTGCCTCCAGCACACAGTTCACGGACTCTGGCCCAGACAGGAGCTGCCACTTCACATAAACCATCTAGAACTATTAGCAATCATCAAAGCGTTCCATGCCTTCCTTCCCCTCATTCGAGAACAAGTGGTGCAGTTGGCAACAGACAACACCACTGCACTTTTTTTATGTCAACAAGCAAGGGGGTACCCATTCCCCTTCCCTGCTGTACCTAGCGGTCGACCTCTGGGAGTGGTGCTGTTCCCACCATGTTTTCCCTATTGCCGTCCACATTTCCACAGACGACCACACCTTGGCAGATCGGCTCAGTCGGCTACCGACGAGAACACAGAGATGGACTCTGAACGATGTCATATTCCAGCGGCTGTGCCGACGATGGGGCACACCCTCAATAGACCTCTTTGCAGCCGATGCCAACAAATGTCCCCGGTTCTGCTCCAGAGCTGGTCGGGACAGCAACTCTCTAGGAGACACGTTCCTGATGGACTAGTCTCAAGATCTCCTATACGTATTTCCCCCTCTGCCTCTCATCCAGTGGGTGATTGTCCGTCTCCGACAGGACGGGGCCACTGCCATCCTGATAGCCCCACCTGCCATGGTTCACTCACCTGGTCTCGATGTTGTCGGACATGCTCCACCTTCCTCTCCACCCAGATCTCCTCTCGCTCGACCACGGCCTCGTTCTTCACCCAGACGTCTTGCAGCATGGAGGATACTCCCGATATGATGCAGGTTCTTCTTTGAGCCCGAAAACCTACCACTACCCTCCTATACGAAAACAAATGGAAGTCTTTCTTAAAGTATACTCGGGACAATCACTTATCTGCTATACTTGTTTCCCTGAAGACTCTGCTCACCTCTCTCCTCCATCTCTTCAGTTTTGGCCTTTATCAGTCTACATTAAAGGCCTATCTTTCAGCCATTATGGCTCACCAGCCCGACGACTCCCTCCTCCAAGTTGTTTTCTCACCCAACTGAAGTTCCTCAAAGGGGTTAACAACATTTGCCCTCCTCAACAACGTATCCCCCCCCCAGTGGTCATTGCAGCTGGTTCTTAATGCCTTGATGCGGCCTCTGTTCGAGCCCATGGTGTCCATTGACCTCAAATTCCTGACTTAAATTGGCCTTCCTTGTTGCAATCACATCAGCCAAACGGGCTAGTGAACTCACTGCTCTTCGAGCCGATCCTCCCTTTATCCAGTTTCCCCCCGATAAAGTGACTCTTTACTTTGACGTTTCCTTTCTCCCGAAGGTGGTCTCCGACTTCCACCTCAACCAACCCATTATACTACCCTGCTTCTTCAAATCTCCTTCGTCACCCCTAGAACATATGCTCCATAATCTCGATGTCAGACATATCCTGGCTTTCTACGTCGAAAGGACAAAGACTTTTAGAAAGTCCAATAAACTCTTTCTATGCTTCCACGGCCCAAACAAAGGGGACTTAGCCTCCTCTCAATCCATAGCACGTTGGATTGTACAGACTGTCTCCCTTGCTTACAGCTTGTTGGGGAAATCCCCTCCAGAACATTTGACAGCTCATTCCACCAGGGCGCTGTCCACCTCTACTGCCTTTCAGCGTGGCACTGAGGTTCCTGACATCTGTCGTGCCGCTACGTGGTCCACACCATCCACGTTTGTCAAGCACTACCGGCTCGACGTAAGAGCACGCCAAGATGCTGCATTCGGCAGAGCTGTCCTGTCATCCTTCTTACCGTGACGACCCACCAACGGGTAAGTGCAGCTTGCTAGTCACCCATATGTGTGCATTCACAGAGACCACGAAAAAGAAAAAGAGGTTACTTACCTGTAACCATAGTTCTTTGAGTGGTCCTCTCTGAATTCACACAACCTGCCCATCCTTCCCCTCTATCCGTCACGGGTTAACTATGTAATTATTTAATTAATTCTTTCCTTCATACCCGGCGGATAAAATTAAGGAACTGGGGAAGATGGTGGGTGGGAGGAGCATATACCTCGTGGAGGATCACACCCTAAAATTGTTACTTTTAGCTCTAGAATCTTCCGAGACAGTCAGCGCAGGCGCAGACAATACCCATATGTGTGAATTCACAGAGGACCACTCAAAGAACTGTGGTTACAGGTAAGTAACCTCTTTTTTATTTATTTGTGTCCAACATTTCCACCAAAACTCAAGGTACCTCACAACTGAAGTAATCATATTGAAATTATATTATGCAAACACAATTAAGTTAAAAACAATTCAGAAGTATGGCAGTAAAAAAGTATGGCAGCCACCCATTGGAAGCTCCTCGGCAGGAATCACCTTCTAAAATCAAGGATTTAGCATGCATTTGGTTGCTTTAATCTCTCTAAAGATATTGTTCAGATTATCAGGGTGTGTAGATTGAAATGTATCCATTATCATGGAACAAGCAGGAGTCGAAGTTCTATCCCCAGGACTACAGCACCCAAGTCAGAGCAAATCTGAGTGACTTTGACTGTAGAAAGCCCCTGATCATTTCTCTGTTGCAGGGATCAGTCAGAGCTTTGATTGGACCACCTGCTGAGATGACAGGAAACTTCCCAAAATCCATCAGGCTACTGGGTGGACCATCTTAATTGGCCCCTCCCACCCCTGCTGTGGGTTCCTGCTGGCCTAAACCCCACCAAATGGTGATCTGTTCATGACAATAGAGCTGTTGAAAGCTACACCACACCTAGATCATTATCAGCATACACAACACAGAAAATGTCTAGACCATACGCCCATCAACTTTAGCAGTCTTAGTGCTACTTGGGACAGCCTCATGGTTGTCATGAAGGGCATGAAGTCAGTCATGATAAACTGGCCTCGATGTGGATGTTAGTCTCCCAACTGAAGGAGCGGAGACTGGTGAGCAGAACAGTGAGTGGTGCATTAACAGAACAAAAAATGGGGGAGGGGGCAGAGGCAGCAAGGAGAATACAATCATGACAGATCACTGTCATTCCCCATTGCACCCCCAGATTAGTCTTGCTGCTCCATAGAAAACCCAGGTGGGAAGAGATTGACTCCCCTAACCTTTGGTCTTTGTAATGCAAGCCAAATCAGCGTGCTTCAGAATTAGGTCCCATATAAGTGATGTTTTCTGGCATTTAGCAGCATCACGTTCAGTCCAGGGGTTCTGTTGCCAAGGCTATCTTAATCAACATTCTGCTTCTTCCCGTTTCCATAATAACATTGTTATATCATAATGTCATTGTTACTAGAAAACGTGCAAGCTGTTAAACAAGCACTGCAAAGAAATTTTTTATTTTCAGGAGGAAAGAGTTTTCACAAAGTGCAGAGGTATTTTTACCTCAACCTTAAAATTACAGTTGATTGCGTTTTTATACCCTATAAACCTGTACATACCGTGTTTCCCCGAAAATAAGACAGGGTCTTATATTAATTTTTGCTCCAAAAATGCAGCAGGGCTTATTTTCAAGGCATGTTTTATTCTTTTCATGTACAGCAATCTACATTTATTCAAATGCTGTACAGTCATGTCATCTTCTGGTTGCTGCACAATGGTGGAGGGCGGGATTTCTCAGGAACCTATTTGATGTGTTTTTTGTTGCATATGCTACCCAGCTACTACAGAAGAGTGAAACACAGTAACTGGAAATTGTATTGGCATGCATGTAAACAGAACAACAGGATGTTCTCCCTTTTGCAGGATCTGGTTGGTTTGTGCAATTTCCATAATTATGATAACTTGAGACACTTTGCAAAGAAGCTTGATCCCCGCAGGGAAGGCGGTGACCAGCGGGTAAGTTTATGGTTGTTTCATGATATTTCTGTGTAAAGTGTATGCAGGTGTGACTATTCCGTGGCAGGTAGTCTGTTAGTCGTACTAAGCTGGAGTGTTGATAATACTGTTTATACAAAACCTTTCATGACTAGATGCCAGGTCTTCAGTGTTTCAGTCACTGGTGTTCGTTCTGTTTTTTCTACTAATTTGGTTTCTGGCAACACACCAGTTGCGGCTTTCTTTAAGCATATGTGAGTGTGGCATATTTGGACGACCCTTAAGCAAGATAAGGAACAATGTGTTTGTCACCTGCAGATGGGCCTGAAATCATTTTGGGTCAGTTGTGAATAAAAGTCATCATGCACAGCAAATGTGTATCCTGTCAGTGTTCGTTTCATAGCTACAATATATTAAAAAGCATTTTACTAGGTAATTAGAGAATTTGGATTTTTTTAAAAAAGAATCCCACCTCAAAGAAATAGAATATAAAGTATCTCTTTTTTTAGATAACAGTTTTTATCCAGAAACTGGTGAGGAACGAGTCCCGATATTCCTGCTAATTTGTATAGAAGCAGTGAATTGTCTCTAGCAGACTTCTGTCCTTTCAGAGAAAGTGTAGTGAAAAGGAAAAAAGGCTTCCCAGTTAGCTTTACTTCTACCAGGTACAGAGTGTTTCGTGTACACTCTGACACTTTGGTCATCTTTCTCTTCTGATCCTCTTAAGATCTTAGTGGGGTCTGAGCAGTCATTACTTTAGTCAGTGGCAGGACAGGATATTTTGTCACTGGCCTTAATAAAGAGGTCAGAAATTGTGTTCACCAAGATTCTTTTGCCTGTGATCTTGTGTTGTTCATATGTATGAGATTAGGCCCAGTCCCCACCTTTCTACCCCACATACAATTTAGGAGGTGGGACTGGATTACTAAAGCCTGCTTACTTGTTCATGAGGAATCAAGGTTTCCAGTGCTTCTATAATGAAGATGCCAAACACACACAGAGACCTTCCTCCTAGCCTTAAAGTAGGCAGAAATGGCTATGTCATTGTAGGAACAGCCCCTGGTCACTTGGAGCAGAGTTATGTGGAAGGCTATGGTCTGTCACAATTGACATGATTAACTGAAAAGTAAAAGTTTAGACTGGAATGCTAATAACAAGAGAAAAGTGAACTTTGATAACCCTAGTAAAATGTAGACCCTCTTGTGTTACTGTCAGAATACTGCCTCCTTTTTTTTGCTATGAACTAACTTGTTTGGGGGAGTGGTTGTCATTCGTCAATCCAAATTACACAACACCGCCCCCATTCTTTCTCAGAAGTGAAATTGGTTGCATACCAGTGTCAGCAGGGACTTGGAAGGTGATAGTTGAAAGTCAGAAAATGCTAATTGCTAAATGCCATATTAGCTAATTGCTAATGCTAGAATGTTTCCTTTCACTGGTAATCTAATAAATAATGTATGTTGCTTGAATAAATAGCATTCCTTTGGACCATTGGACTATGAGACTCTTCAGCACGAACTTGCATTAAAAGAGACTGTGTGGAAAAAAGTGTCACCTGAGTCAAATGAGGACATCTCCACTACCGTAGTGTATAGAATGGAAAGTCAGGGAGAGCAAAACTAAAGGAGTGGGCTCCAGTTTCAGAGTTTTTCATTTTTAAACATGCTTCATTTTCTCCAGATTGCACAGTTTCAGATGTTTACGTTTTGTTCTTTTGTTTTCACTATTTTGTAAATATGGCTAGAGATACCAAAATCAGTATCCGATTCAAGAAAGATTGCTTCAGTTGCTTCTTCAGAAAGCAGATTGAAACAAAACCTGAAAATGTGTGTCATCTTAAACTCTCACCTGTATCATGCTTGAAGGTGATTCAAAAGGAGATTTCCAAGTGTGTTTGGGAAATACACAGAAATGTTACAGTGCTGCAAAATACAAATAGCATAATTATTAGCAAAGACATAGATACAAGAAAATGTTATTCTCAAATAATAAATTTTTGTAAGTTGGCATAACTATTCTTGGGACTCCAGAATTCTAGGAGACAATAACCCCTTGTTGGAATCCCCCCATGACCACTTTCCTGTCTTAATCCTGTACATTTGGAAGCCATCTAGTGATTTTCAGTGAGTTGTTTTACTTGTACAGGATGGACAGATCCATTGCTTACATAAACAATTCTATACTAACAGTATATAGAATCAGCTTAAATTCTTTAAAATATTAATATTCTACAGTGCGTGCACACACACACACAAACTCAGAATGGATATAAGCCCAAATAAATCCTCTATTAGCAAAATATTAGAAAAGTGCACTTGTACTCACACTTCCATCTTGGAAACATGATTTTAACAGTTTATCCAATCAGATTGAGATATATTCTGCGGGTAGGCCCTTTCCAATGCAAATTGAAACCTTCCTGTTTGTAAATTTACAGTGGACCCTTGACTTACAGACGGCTTGACTTACAGACTTTTTGAGTTACAGACTTCTCTGGCCGCAAAATTTAGGTTTGACTTGCAGACTGAGATTTGACTTACAGACCAGAAAAAAACCAAAATGGAACAAAAACGGCCTGTTACGGGATTAATCGGTTTTCAATGTACTGTAGGTCAATGGAGACTTGACTTACAGACTTTTTGACTTGAGAACCGCCTTCCAATACGGATTAAGTTCTCAAGTCAAGACCCCACTAACCTGTTCTGTTGCTTTCTTGTTAAGTGTGTCTGGGGGATTGCAGTAACTGTTATTTTACTGAATTCGAGTTCAAGGGTCTTGGTTTAGAATTAAGATTTACTTAACTCTTTTGTAAATAACATTAATTGGGCAGAATCCATCAAATATTTACACCAATGCAAGTCTAATCATTTTAATTCTAGCAACAAATTGCCGCTCGTTGAACAGTTAGCACAGAGAGTTCATTCCATAGCCTAGGAGGCACACAGGAGAAGGCCCTCTCCCACATATTTTTGTGGCAGGCTTCTGACACTGTTGGAAGGTCTCCTAATGGTCTTCAAGGCCAGACAGGTTCATAATGAAACAGGCAGTCCTTCAGATGGCCAGGACCCAAGCTGTTTAGAGCTTTGAAAATTAAAACCAACATCTTGAATTAGCCCCAGTAAGCAATTGGCAACCAGTACAGGTCTTTCAGTATTGGGGGTCATGTGATCACAATACTATGCACCAGTTAGTAGCCTTGCTGGTACATGTTGCACCAACTGAACATCCCAGACCCCTCTTCAATTGTACCCTCATTCAGAGCAAATTGTAGTACTTAAGGCATAATGTAACTAAGGTTGACTTGTATTTCTTGTTTCGTCCAGAATCATATGGCTAGTGTGTGACAAATATAATTGCTGACTTCACTGCTAATAGCTGTCTGCTGCTGAGACTTATATTATTGGATTTAAGCCAGGTGATGCAAATAATAAAATCCTGGCCGTTTGCATCTAATTTTTGTGAGCAGCAACATTGCTTACTAGTGATTGATTACTTCCAACCTTTGCTCACTGTGTCTATTTCCTGGAAGAATCCTAGGAAGGAAAATTATATCATAACAATTCATTGGGTAAAGTTTGACTTCTTAATAGATAGTAATACAGTGGTGCCTCACTTGATGACGTTAATCTGTTCCAGTGAAATCGCTGTAGAGCGAAATAGTCGTCAAGCGGGGGAAAAACCCGTTGAAACGCATTAAAAATGGTTAATGTGTTCCAATGGGGTAAATACCTAATCGTCCAGCGAAGATCCTCCATAGGGCGGCCATTTTCCAGTGCCTGTACAGTGAAAATTAAGTCCTGAAAACAGTGGGGAGCCATTTTGCACATCGGGCAGCCATTTTGAAACCCGACGATCAGCTGTTTTCTGATCGTCGTAAAGCGAAAAATCGATTCCCAAAGCAGGGAACCAATTATCGTAACACGAATTTTTTCCCATTAAAACATTTTGCGATCGCAAAAGCGATCGCCAAAACCTCATCATCAAACGGATTCACCGTTTAATGAGGTAATCGTTAAGCGGGGCACCACTGTAGTTGTATTTCCAGGCTGATACAAATAAATTTCAGCAAAAGGAAAAATTTAGACCATGCCAGCTTTTAAAGTCTTCAAATTGAAGCCCTGTGCAAAGATACAGTCCAGGAGCTATGTAATGAACAATCATCACAAGTGTAGGAAAAGAGAAATGTGGCTCATAAAGACCTCAGTAGTATAGGAAAAACTTGGGAAGGCATTCAATTGAACTGGAGTGATTCAGAGTGCAAGCTGTGTCCATTCAAATTGGTAAGGATGTTTTTGAAGACAGTTTGGAAAATAATGTTTAAAGATTATTGGTGTAAAATTAAAACAATTGAAATGTTTTTGATAGATCATATCTCATCAATGTAGCTTCAATTGTACAAGTTATCTGTTTGCTGGACTCATTTAACAATCCTAGTAAACCATTTAAAACGAGTGGAGATCATGTGGCACCCACAGGCTGATAGACTGCAACTCCTGTCAGACGTGGCTGGTGTAGTCAGCAGTGAAGGATGACAGGAGATGCAGTCCAGTAGCATCTAGGGAAATGTGTGTCCTTCATCCCTGTTTTAAATCCATTAAATGGCTGGGGATGGGATTATTTGTGGGAGTGATGGCACTGATATCTGGCATGGACAAAGAGTGGATCCCTCATATATGCCCTTGCACCAAGGGAAAATGTATGTCCAATTATGCCACCTGAAGCCACCAAGGAAGCATATTAAAAATGGCCAATTATCCCACCTGAAACTTCCAAGGAAGCACATTAAAGTGTCCCTATAGATCCATTTAGCCTATTTTAGCTTATTTCAAGTCTAAAACAAGCCCCCCCATAAAATTTGAATGGCCAATCGTGCCACCAGGAGACTCGTCGGCTGTTTTTATGCCATTCCTCTTGCTGGGATGCTGGTGTTTGGAAGTGAGAAATAAGAAGGGGGCTCACCAAGGGTGAAAATGTCCTTGGGATCTACTGTAGGTGACACCTTGACATATTTAAACCTGGCC